AAGATGATTTATTTATTTATTATTTATTTATTTTTTTATTTTTATTTATTCATTTGTCTATTTATTTATTAATTTGTTCGTTCGTTCATTCATACATTCATTATTTGGGGAAATTGCGGGATCCACTTCCATGGGAAGCTATACACAGAATAGAACAAAAAGAAAGTTTGTTCCCCCTAGTACGTGCTAAGCTTACGGGGATCTCAAGTTGGAACAATGACGCCCGGTCGGAGGTGAAAACTAGTGGCCCTGTCTGCTATTTCTGGCTGACCCTCTTGATACTTAAAATGCTACCGAGTATACATTATACACTGAATAAATGACACCACAGTAAATGGCACAGTAAAGTGACCTGCACATTTCAATCACAAACATCTTTGGGTCTTAAAGTACGTATTATAAATATGTCGTCGATGTACTTCAACAGTGCACGTCTATTTCACCAGGTCATTCTTGCTATCACGTTGGCATGGTTACTGAGTTACATCCTGACTGTTACTGATGTATTACCCAACGATTCAGAAAAATACGGATACATGGCACGCACGGACATCAGATTGAATGTCCTTTATGATTCCAAATGGTTTGATTTTCCATATCCAGGTGAGTTCATATATTATTATTATTATTATTATTATTATTATTATTATTATTATTATGTGAGGGCAGTGAATCTTTTCTCACGATCATAACTCAATATTGCAGGCCAGTGGGGATTACCAACTGTCAGCGCAGCCGGTGTATTTGGAATGCTTGCCGGTGTGCTTGCGTCTATGATCGAATCAATTGGTGACTACTACGCGGCTGCTAGGCTTTCTGGGGCGCCACCTCCCCCGACACATGCAATTAATCGTGGCATCGGCATCGAAGGAATTGGCTGTATGCTAGCAGGACTCTGGGGGACTGGTAATGGAACAACATCGTATAGTGAAAACATTGGAGCCATTGGTATAACTAAGGTATTATCAAAGTCTCTGAGAAGTCTTTATTTTGCTAGTGTGATTTCACCATGTTTCGTTGACGTAATGTGTACAGGCTTTCGAATTTCGTTAATAGTGGTAGATTATTACGTCCACCTACTGTTAAAGATTGTATTGTCATCAATACGTGTAAAGTATTCTTTAAAGCATGGAAACACTATTATTAAATTATCAGAAGACATCGTTAATGCACATAAAGTTCTGACTGGCAGCTATGAGAAGGAAACATGTGTGATATGTCAAATATTACCAATTTAACATGTAGCTTCAGTTTCAGAATGTTGCTATATAGAAGAACGTGTAAATATTCTTTGTATCCTATTACAAGATTTATACATATGACGTAATCGTTTGCAAATGTTCTATTTTAGGTTGGAAGTCGCATTGTCATAATAATCGGTGGTTGCATAATGATGCTTCTAGGAACGTTTGGTAAATTTGGTGCATTATTCGTCACAATACCGGAACCTATAATAGGTGGTATTTTTTGCGTAATGTTTGGTAAGTTTGGTAGTTTAAATAATTACAATAATTAGTACAGCATTTTTATAAAGCATAAACTTCGCCATGAAATAACCGTGCAAACATCGCTCAAAGAACAGGCCACCTGTGAATGGACCCAAAAAATTGGGCAAAAAATAATTGTTTGTATTTTACCAGGTAATTTATGTTTTTGTTTGTAGTGGATCGATGTAAAGCCGAGACTGTTTAAATATTATTAAAAATTGAAAAAACAAAAACATTATGAATTTAAGGCTCTGAGAACCCATACCGATACCATAATATGACCGAATTAAACATTTTACATTTGTTGTCATATCGTATATTTCCTTATCGATTTTGCTGACTTGCCATGACCAATTATGCTTAAAATCGGGACACTCACATAATATACTTACCTAAATCATAAGATATTCTTATTGTGATAATATTTGGCTTATAGTTACTTAAATGTTTGCATAATAAATACTTTCAATACATGCAGATATCAGCCATACAGTAGAGTAATAACGTTACGTATTCACTTTAACCGAACAAATTGTAAAACAATGTTGTTTTCTTCCAAGGCATGATAACAGCTGTCGGGATTTCGAATCTACAGTTCGCGGATTTGAATTCATCGAGGAATCTATTCATTATAGGACTTTCATTCTTCATGGGCGTAGTCATACCAAATTGGATAAAAACTGGGGGCAATGGCGACCTCATTAATACCGGTACGATAATTGTATGCATGGCTTGACAAATAAACAATCAACAATCACACAATCAACTGCACTGCACCCAACACTTACGTTAACACCCTTGAATGTGTTTTTATGCAATCTTTTTTTTTTCACATTCCCATATAGCAAACTGTATTCATTCCCATTTGTATTTTCCCCTCACACAGACATAAACGTAACTAAAACACACAATGCTTGTATCATTGACGATGTTTTGTAGTGTGATGTGGACAAAATGCCATTTTGACGTAAAAATAGTTAAATCTATCACTTGAATATTTACGAGTTTTGTTTGATTTCAGACACACTTGATATGATAGCAATATATATGATTTTTGTATGATTTTGAATGTTAAAGATACTAGATCATTTCCAGAAACTATATAATGCAATATTATACCATTTGTTATTTCTATACCGTACGGTTAGGTGTTGTCGAAGCTGATCAGATTATAACAGTATTACTGAGCACTGGAATGTTTGTTGGAGGCGCAATTGGATTTATACTTGACAATACTATTCCTGGTAAGTACAAACAAGTATGATTCTAGTGGCCGGGGCATCTAACAAGGGGGCTGGCACAGCTTATATGCAGGCGTGTTTACATATTCATAACATGCTTTTAATTAAATTTAATCAATTATCAAGGTACATTCACTATAGTTGTAAATAATTATTCGGATAATTGTTCATTACAATGATAACTGCTTGATATTCCGTGTTATCATTTGAGATGACCGTATGAAGGATGAGTTGCTCCTGATGAGATTAATTTAACGTAATTTTAGCTGATATGATTTGAATTATTATACATAAAATGGTTGAGCGCTGGTTTAACTGAAATGTCATTGCAGTAATCGGCGCAAACAGGTGAACTGTATTTGTCTATATTGAAATCAAAACCCAACATGTGTTTGGTGTCTTCACTCAGGCACAGAAGAAGAACGTGGTATTGCACAGTGGAGAAAGTTGTTTGGTGAGACTGATGGTGAAGACGAAGAAAGAAATATGGCCGTTAGAAAAGAAATCATGAAGTGTTATGAGTTTCCTTTCGGGAATGCTTTTATTGAAAAATGGAAACACATAACAAAATATATTCCAGTATGCCCAACTTTTGTTGATATAACTTGTCGTTGTGACTGTTCCTGTAAGAGAAAGAAAACTTACGATATGGTAACACATGTCCGTCAATGAACAATATTGCCAGAACCCGTGACAGGGAAGTTACTAGAAACCCTGATTTGATACATTGGCTTAAATAATTGTTTGTACATTCTTTAACTTGTGCACCATCACCATACTTTTTACATTACTGTACTGTACATATGCGTAGACACCTTATAGAGCAATACCCTTTTTTCTATGAATTTATAGTGTAGTATTTTATTATTTACAACTGATGTACACACCGTGAGATGATGGTAACAAAAGACGGCGTGAGTGTTTCCATTTCTAACACGTGTATATTTTTTAGCCGTGTATAAGCTCATGCTGTTCTTCTCACTGCGCTCCCTACTTAATGATTTCCAATTCGTTACTAGTAACAACTTACATTTTTCAGTGTTCATTATCAATACCGTGAGTACTTTCGATGTGTCGCAATTCTTTTTTGTTTTGTTTTTGTTTTTACAATAATCTAGGATTTTGTATTATACCTGATTTGTTTTTCTATTTTACTTTGGTTAAAAAGCTTGATATTTCGGTATCTTTCTTTCAGATTTGTTCATTTTGTGATGATCATTTGTTATTTTTACGTGAATATTTCGTATATTTTTGATACATGCTTCTTTGTTATTTGTGATATATACAACATATATTATTTAGTTTTTGTAACAAATCCATGAAAAGTCTAGTTTCCATATTTGATCATTGAAGTTCCATTTTGTACTTTGTTACTTAATGGGCCAGGTTATTGAATATATATATATATATTTGTTTACATAGCAACATTATAACATTGTAGCATACTATATTTGTGTAATTTTACGTGACAAACCACTTTGGGTTGAAAGATTAGCCTACCGTTTTGAAATTGTGCATGTGGCTTCTGTGCGAACTAGAACGACGTACAATGTCTAAAAGAATATGCACCAAGAAACAAGTTCACATCAATAAATGAACATTCATGTCGATGACGCTTCACTAATCAAATTGACGCTAATCAATTTTTGGGGATTGAGGGAAAATTTAGTGTGACAAAATCTACTGAAAATTATGTGGTGTCTCATTTTATAGAGCTGTGGTCGTCGCGCAGCGCGTGTTCGAATTTCAGGCAAACAAACAATGCATTTTATACACGCGTTGTATACGTCGCTGTGAGTCTCATATCGATCAGGGCGCGGCGCGACGACCCCTGCCATTTATTCATTAAATTCACGATGATGATGATGATGATGATGATGATGATGATGATGATGATTAGCTTCACCAGAAAGTCATTTTTAATTTCGTTTTTAAACTTACTTGTTGTCTAGTAAGTTGGTTTACAGCGCAAATAACAATAACGTAAATTAAGCACAAGATGTTTTTTGTGTAAACTGGTTCAGAAACATCTTTTTCAAATAAAGACAAGTGCCCAACATATGTATTAGAATTTCCAAACAATAATGTTATTCATTGCAATAGAACACTAATAATCACATCATGAAATGAATATGAGGTTATTACGAGGATACCTCAAAGTATGCACAAAGACAGTACAGCTGGAGTATCGACC